TGACATAAATTTCTAGATTCAGTATTAAATACTAAATGTTTTATGAAAATTGTGTTCTCATGGTTTGTGTCACCACCTTAGTATTCTTCCCTGTGGTCATTACACCAGGAAAGATGGAGTAAACATGCAGGACTTCTTGAGGTCTTTAAGAACTTAGTTATTTAAATCCATTTCTACAGGTAAAGAGCTCTGACTTTATCAGCCAGCTTTCCAGGAATTTAGAACTGTGTAAGTCAGATTGCAGTGCAGGTTGACTGCCTCTTAACCAGTGGCTTGGGACCAGAAGTGTTGCAGATTTCAGGGGTGTTTGCATTTGGGAGTATTAACATAGACTTTACTGATTGAGAATCCCTAATCCAAAATTTAAAATTTAAGGATGTTCAGCCTGGGTCTGTTCTTTGATTCTTGTTGAAGTGTCTACTTATGATAAGAAGAGCCAATTTGTACCGTAGGTTCCTAACATTTGGAGCCTATATCACTTTTGGTAGGTGTTAAAAGATATTTCACTTTGTTGAGATTCAAGACTTTTATCTCCAGTTCATTCTTTGTCCTATTGGACTGACCATCTTCACTTTTTATGACACAAACACTCCCATCAGTGCTACAGAGGAGTGGCTCATCTGCAAGGATGGAACCTTAGTCACTTTATAAAATGACCCAGAGATTACCCAAAGCACAATCCTATACTAGATAAACCCTGCCCCTTCCCAGGATGTTTCTGGTGTCCTCATTATTGTTTTGAGCATTTCATTTAAGAATTGTGTAATCATATACATAGATCCGGAAAAAAAGAAATACTATCTCATGTAACTTCATAACAATCTCAAATCTCCAAGCCATTGATACTGACTTTGATGTCCCTTGACATTTGCTCCTTCTCTAGGAATGTGTCTTACTGCAGTTACATAACTTCTCCCTTACAGCTTCTCATATTCTAGCAGGGAGCATGATTTCTAAACTAAGGATTCGAGGAGCCTGAGTTCGGAGAATTCCACTTACATTTGATTTAATTGGAGTAGAATTCAAAGATGCAGTCATATTGTCACATTAGGAGGATAGAGCAGGCAGTGTTTGCACAATTTCAAACTGGAGGAAACGCGACATTGTAGTGAATTTCCTAATCCTTTTAAAGGAGTATTCCTAAATGCTCACCATCTCTAGCAATAAAGGAAATGCAAATTAAAACCACGCTAAGATTCCACCTCACCCCTGTTAGAATAGCCATCATCAACAACACCAACAACAGGTGTTGGGGAGGATGCAGGGAAAAAGGAACCCTCTTACACTGTTGGTGGGAATGTAAACTAGTACAACCATTCTGGAAAAAAATTTGGAGGCTACTTAAAAAGCTAGACATCGATCTACCATTTGATCCAGCAATACCACTCTTGGGGATATACCTAAAAGACTGTGACACAGGTTACTCCAGAGGCACCTGCACGTCCATGTTTATTGCGGCACTATTCACAATAGCTAAGTTATGGAAACAGCCAAGATGCCCCACCACTGACGAATGGATTACGAAAATGTGGTATCTATACACAATGGAATTTTATGTAGCCATGAAGAAGAACGAAATGTTATCATTCGCTGGTAAATGGATGGAATTGGAGAACATCATTCTGAGTGAGGTTAGCCTGGCCCAAAAGACCAAAAATCGTATGTTCTCCCTCATATGTGGACATTAGATCAAGGGCAAACACAACAATGGGATTGGACTTTGAGCACATGATAAAAGCGAGAGCACACAAGGGAGGGGTGAGGATAGGTAAGACACCTAAAAAATTAGCTAGCATTTGTTGCCCTTAACGCAGAGAAACTAAAGCAGATACCTTAAAGCAACTGAGGCCAATAGGAAAAGGGGAACAGGATCTAGAGAAAAGGTTAGATCAAAAAGAATTAACCTAGAAGGTAACACCCACGCACAGGAAATCAATGTGAGTCAACTCCCTGTATAGCTATCCTTATCTCAACCAGCAAAACCCTTGTTCCTTCCTATTATTGCTTATACTCCCTGTACAACAAAATTAGAAATAAGGGCAAAATAGTTTCTGCTGGGTATTGAGGGGGAGGGGGCGGAGTGGGTGGTAAGGGAGGGGGAGGGGGGAGAAATGACCCAAGCCTTGTATGCACATATGAATAATAAAAGGAAAAAAAAAAGAAACAGAGTTAGAAAATCAAAAAAAAAAAAAAAGGAGTATTCCTTTCAAACTAAGGAAACCTGTTCTCCTGTCTGCAGATGGAGCTCACCAGGGTATGAGAAACAGGTGATAAAGGGCACATTGTCTTCTTGTCCTTGGAGTCTGGTTTGTCCTAACTTATCTTCTTACCACAGTAAACTCTCTCTTTCTTTTGAATTTGCACAGTGAAATCTCAGGCCTTAATCTAAGATGTTTTAAAAGGCATCCACAAATCCTACTGTATTGTTTTCCATTGAGCAGGGTGACTTTTGTTTCACATTGTTACATGTGAGGCTGAGCTTGGAGGCACAGCTAGACTACATGTAACTCAAAGCTCCCTTCCCTCTCCAGATTGCTTTGTCTCTTTGATAGTTCTTCCTGCAGGGAGAGAGTCAGATGACTCTCAGTCCTGGGATCTTTCAGCATTGAGAACTTCCTTTGTCATAGACACAAAATCTTACCACTCCCTCTTTATTTGCCAAGACCTAATAGGGTACTCAGCTCCATTCTTAAGCCAAGATGAAACCTTTACCTCTAGGAGTTCCCTCCTAATGTTAGCCAGCTGAAAAAGGGGTTGTGTCAGTGATGTGTAGCAGGTTTACTTTGATTGTTTGTTTTGTTTTGTTTTTCTAACTGCGGTGCTCCAAAAAGTCCAAAACGTGTTCCACTTAATAATTAAAGTGAAGTAACTTTTGTCAACTTGTATGCTATTTTTAAATAATCCAAGATCAATATGTACAGCTATTTACAAATTTCTGACCTGGAACTTTATTCTCTGTCCAAATGTGTAGATTGAGTTCAGCAGATTGAGTTCTGTGCAATTGTGGAACTCCCAGGGAGTGTGCATGTCTGTGAAGACCTTTGGGATTCCTTGTCAATTATGCAGGGTACAGTGGAGTAGAGAAAGCAGACAAAGGAGTCCTTTTTTCTTCCCCCTGACATTTCTGGTGTTATGGATAGTTTAAAGCCACCTGATTTAGAAAGTTGGAAAGGGCAGTTCAGGTCCATGGTCCCTCACTATAAAATGGTAGGAGCTAGATGTGTTTTAGAATCCAGAAAGCTTCAGGTTCTAGAAGGGAAATAAAAGTGCATGTCCCATATATTAATATTCCCTGTGGGATCTGGGACAACACCCACAGTCAAACACATTAATATTTATGTAGAGGGAAATATAGATATTTACACAAAGAATAAATTAAAAGTTCTAATGTCAGTCCCTTGTCAAATTTTGGTGCCAAGTGTGTTTGCTTAAATTTGGCTTTTACCTTTCAACTTCAGAATTGCAAATACGGGGTTGTGGACCTATGTGTGCGTTGGTAGAAATAGCAGGACAACTCTGCAAGGCTGGTTAAGACCCAGCAGTATTTAATGGGTCCATATTACAGGGCTGCAGTTTGTGGTCTTGTGTCTCTCTCTCCTGGGCAAGTTACTTTCTCTTCAATTTTCTGACAATCCCTTGTTTATCTGTCAAGCAGTAAGATCTGTATCAAATTATTAAAATTTCATCTCTCCAGGCATGGTGTCATGTACCTGTAGCCACAGTTACTCAGAAGGCCAAGGCAGGAGGAATGTTTGAACTCGAGAGTTTAAGGTCAGCTTTAGCAGCATAGCCAGAATCTGCCTCTTAATTTTTTTTTTTTTCCTAAAATTTCGTCTGTTCCTTCCCCCGCATCTCTCTTTCCTCTACCCTCAAGTGCTGGGGATCGAGCCCAGGGCCTCATGAATGCCAGGCAAGAGTTCTACCACTGAGCTACATCCTCAGTCACCCTCCCCCACTTTCTTTTTTTTATTGGATGAAAATTTACTGATGCAGTGGCTGCAGTGCCATCCTAGAAATGGGACTGAAGTGCTAAGTATTGTCCTAATGACACAGGAGTGTTTACTTTGCAAACTCAGTCATCAGTGTCTTCTTAAACTTTGTTTGCAGAATGACTGGTCTTTTCAAAGGTGGATAATTGGATTTTTTTTTTAGCAGTTTAGTTACTTTCTTTTTTATTTTAGTTCCATCAAAATATCATCTAGCAGTGGAGACAGACATAAGGTAATTGACTGAAAAGCCATGAAATGGGTACTCATCATTTGTTCATATTAAGTGAATACCTACTACCTTTTTTAGTGATAAATTATTTTTGAATAATTGTTTTGATTAATGTTGTATCATATTTAAATCTCTTCAGTGATTCTTTTTAACAGTAGTTAGGTAAGGAATATTTGCTACCAGCTGACTTGACATTTTAAAGGTTCTCTCCAGGTACTCACCTTTGAGAAAACTATTTGAAAGAGAAGTTTTCTCTAAGTACATTGTTGATGATGCTAGTGCTCTAACAAAGATATAACTAAGTTTAAAATTTAATATATTAGACACATGGTGCTGGGTGACAAGTCTTCTCTCGTTCAAAAAAGGGGGGATATTAATAGACTTTTCAGTGTAAAACAATTTATTTTAAAGTATTTTCTTGTAAAGCCGACCTCTGCTTTTAAATTTGTAAAGGGGGGGGAGATCATTGTGATGCTGTTTCTTAAAGCCTCCTTTTGTGCTTTGTAACACATGAAAAGAAACTTCCTAAAATACCAGCATCTGTTCTAATGATGTATGATTATAGCATACAGGAATTTTTCATTTACTGTTCCTTAATTCATGAGGAATATAAATGTCTTCTTCAATGTAGATTTTGGGTCAGAGACAGAATTAAAACAGAAGGACCTCAAGGAAGGATGTTAGCAATTTGCCAGGCATATGCCCTTCAGGACTTACTAGCACTGATGTGGGACAGAGCGTATCTGCTAATATTTACATGCATTGTATTGCCTGCTCCACAGCTGAACTATCAGCAGAAGGTAGGCATCATGTACTGCCGAGCTGGCCAGAGCACTGAAGAAGAGATGTACAACAATGAATCAGCGGGCCCTGCCTTTGAAGAGTTTCTTCAGCTCTTGGGAGAACGAGTTCGCCTAAAAGGATTTGAGAAGTATCGTGCACAGCTTGACACCAAAAGTAAGGAATGCTTGTGTCTTCCTCCTATGCTTGTCTTCCTCCTGCTGTGTCATGTGCATCTGCTAAGTCATCTATAAAACAACAGTGACATTTATTGTAGAAAACTAGTGATGGGGACAATACAGCCAGCAAAAGAGGGTGCAGCATCCAAACAGTTGAGAAACATAATCAGAGTAGCTAGAACTGAACTATAAGAAAACAGTGTCCTCAGAGGTGTGAATGGAATAGGGCATTGGACACACATAATGCTGAATTGGTCCTTGGTGAAGTCAAGTGTAAATTGTATTACATTTAGCTGAATGTTAGGGTGATGACAATCTACAGAAATGTTCAAACTAATCATAAGCTCTGGAATATTTTACTGTTACTAATTCATTTCATAATCCTCATCCTTGTGTCTGTACTCAGCCTAGGGTTTTCTTTTTTCTTTTTATATTCTTTTAATACCTAGGAGGTTTTGTATTGCTTGTTTCTATTACAGTTCCAGAGTCTTTCTTAATCTCGAGGAAAATAGGCTTTTTAGCTTTGATATTAATTTGGTTCATAAAGTGTGTTTATTAAAGGTACAGTAATGAAACAGTCTGTTTAATTATGGTACATAAACTTACAAGGGTGTCCACTCCAGTTCCCCAGGTTGCTAATAAAATAGTTAAGTTCTCAATATCTATTTGGTTCGAGCATGTTGACTATTGCTGCATATCTACATGGAGGCAGTTTTAAATTTTATCTCAAAATCCATCCAGAGACACCTGTGACCTGTTTTTCTTTGAGAGGGTCTTTGGATTAGCACATCTTATTGCAGTCTATAGTAATCTCTGATTTTTTGGACAGGAAATTAAATAAGGAGTTGAGTCATGAAAACAGAAAAGCATTCATAAACTCCACTGCAGGGAAGAATTTCCTGTTGCCATGGTTTTGCTGTTGCCAACTTGGAAACGACATGCAAGAAAGTCTATTAAAACCCATAAATAGCCTAGCCTCTTACATATTATTATAATGTTCTGTACCCTGCTTGCAACTGCATAAGATGTTAAATCTTTATGTCCCTTGAACTCTTTTTATCCAAATATTCTGATATTCACCCTATATAATTCATTCATATTGTCCCAGTTTGTCATGTTGTATAAATCATCACCACAGAGAACTATTAAAAGGATCTGGCTGGCATGACAGCTCAAGCCTATAATCCTAGCTACTCAGGAAGTAGAGATCCATAGGATTGTGGTTTGAAGCCAACCCTGAACAAAAAGTTAGCAAGACCCATCTCAACCAATAAGCCAGATGTGGTACTTGCTTGTCATCTCAGCTGTGTGGGAGATACAGGTTGGAAGACTGTAGTCTGAGGCCAGCCTGGGCAAAAACACAAGAACCTACTTGAAAAATAACTGAAGTAAAATGGGCTAGGGCAGGGCTCAAAGTAGGTAGTAGAGCACCTGCTTAGAAGGTACGAAGTCATGAGTTCAAACCTCAGTACTGCCAAAAAAAATAAATAAATATACCAAGAAAGAACTATTGAATTGACCTGAGAAGAAAGTGTATAAGGAGTGCTGTAATTCTATAGATGAGTGATCAGGTTAGGAGTTAATAAGGTTATATATTGTTTGTGTGTTTATACATTCCAGCTATCTCTTCATGATGAAGGGAGACATGATAAATGTATAGCTGGGATTTAGTTAAACAGTGTGGCATCTAGAAAGGCAGTGGAATAAGCAAAGTTGCACTTTGTGCACATTTTAGCCCAATATCCCAACAACTTTGAAGACTAGAGGGAGATGAGCCTCGATTGGCCAACGGTTCTCTTAACTACACAGTTTTAGAATAATACAATACTCTCAGCAAGGAAGTGTTATTTTTCCTTGAACTGGCTTTGAAAAGTACTTCAACCTTTTGAGGTATACCACCTCCTGAGGAGAATTCAATTTCCTTTTGTGTCCTTTCTGATTGTATCTTAGCCTGTTTTCCTTTGCTATTCAAATACCTGAGGCTGGATAATTTGTAAAGAAAATAGATTTATTTAGCTCTTTGGTTTAGAGGTCCAAGAGCATGACTCTGGCTTTTGCTTGGCTCTAGTGAGGGCTTCATGGTGGATGGCAACCCAGTGGTGAGGGCACATACGGGAGAGAGATGAGAGAGGAAAGACAGTGAGATCAGAGAGGACAGTCTTAAATTTTTTTTTTTTATCACAACCCCTTCTTATGGGAACTAACTCACTCTGCAAGACCAGTACTAATTCCTTATGAGGACAGTGCCCCCAAATGATCTAACCACTTTCTACTAGGTCCTACCTTTTCAGGTCCTACCATCGCCTAATGCTACTACATTGAGGACCAAGCCTCCAGCACATACAACCTTCAGGGACACCTTCAAACCATTTCCAAACCATAGCAGAGTATCAGCTTTCCTAAAGTGAATGAAAAGAAGGAAAGTGCCAGGCACCAATGGCTCACTCCTGTCACCCTGGCTACTTGGGAGGCTCATCTCAGAAAGATGGTGATTTGAGGCCAACCCCTGTCTTATACTTGATAGGCAGAAGCTTTAACCAATTGAGCCACATCCTCAGCACCATGCTTTAGCGTGGAAATTCCTATTAGTGTATCGTCAAGCCCATTGTGTTCTTCCTTCCTTTCACAGTTAGTGTCTTAATTCTTATTAATTCTATCTGATGAGATTGCCATTAAGATATTGTTATTATCAGGGCCACATTTTTATAGTAGTTACTTCAAAGTTTTCATTTGCTAATCCTATCACTTTTCTCATTTGGGCTTCCTTCTTTGGATTTTCTCCTATTTGGGGTTAGATTTTGCTACTTCACGTCTGGTTGTTTTTGATTAGATACTGGATGTTGTGAATGTTTCATCATTGAGTGTCTGGATTTTTTATCTTTAAGGAATGTTGAGTTCCATGTGGACAGTCAGTTAACTCATTAAACAGCTCGATCTTCATGAGTCTTGCTTTTAAGCTTTCTTGAAGTACATTTAGAGTACCCTTTACTCTCTGGCTAATGTGGCCCTACTACTAAGGCGTTCCTTTTTTTGTATCTGACTGTCTACCTATTCAATGACGTGCCTCTACTGTGGCTATTTATGACTGGATTGTTTTCCAGTTCTGTGAACTATGTGAATTCTTTGGTTTACAGTTAGCTGGTAGTTCTATCCCTAATAGTTTTTCTTTGCTTGGTTTTGGAATTTAACTACGTGCATATGCATTTTACTATTCAGCCCAAGACTCAAGGGAACCTTACTCAAATTTGTGAGCCTCTTTCACTCCATGGTTTCTTCTTATTGGGTACTCTGCCTAGCAGATATTGAGTACTGCTGACTTCCTGAACTCCAGTCTGTTGTGGTTTTGCCCTTCCAAGTCTTGTTCTGTACCATTGCCCTAAAAGTACCCCTACCTAGAAAACAGGGCCTCACAGACCTCATCAGTTTGTCAGTGTTTTTTTCTCGGGACCACTATCAAATTCTCCCTCTTGCCCAATGTTTGTAAACAGTTGGCTCAGATATTTTGCCAATATTTCTAATTTACAATGGGAGTGTGAGTCCTGTATCAAGAACCCTGTTATGGCTGAAAGCAGAAATCCCAGATATTGTGTGTGTGTGTGTGTGTGTGTGTGTGTGTGTGTGTGTGTGAGAATTGGCTGCTTTAGATTAATCAACATGCCCATGGTTAGATAGCTGGTAAGCAGTAGAGAAATAGAACAGGATCCTAGTGGTACAGTTAATGAAGTGTTCAGAGAAAGTAATACAGTGAATCCCTATGCCTGGCCTTCTGGCTCTGTCTTTCCCTCTCCCAAGCCATTGGACCAATGATAGTTGGTGGTCTCATGAGACAGCTCTGCTTGCCATGTGTTGTTATTATATTCAGGTTTTATATGTCTGTGGACCAGTGAGAAACTCAGGAGGGGAAGAATTGATTGAATTATTGAATCATTTCTTCTTTTTCATAATTATCTGTATAGAGTTCATTTCTTCATCTCAGAAATAAGGACTTATAGTGAACACATAAGCTACAAATAAATATGTCATATGCTAGAACCAGTTCTGCTTATGAAGAAATTTTCAGTAATGGCTTTTTTTAACCCTCCTTTTTTGTTTCCTTATTTGGATGACATAGCCTCTAATTAGTTATCATTGCCTCAACTACAATAAATAGAAAAGCAAACTTCCTACCAAGCAGCTTATTATATTAAAGCAGCAGACCACCCTTATTTTAATCTATGCACATGGATTATTAGTTGGGAAATGATTTCCTGACTGAGTCTTGTTTGTCAAGTCAGCACATGGGAGACTTAAAAGCACTTTGCAAAGCATTTCTTCAAAACCCTGCCCTCATTAATTTGCGTCAATATTGGTGTTTGTTGCCGCCTCCAGTTTTGAGCAATGCTGTGAAAGCAGTTGAGATTGACAGTTTTAGAAGAGACTTGAACTTTTCATAAAGAAAATTAATTCTTCATTAGGAATACATAAACTTTGACAGGGAAAAGAGAAACTACTACTTAAATCCTTGCACATGCAAAGAGCTTTTTATCCAACTGAATAAAATTTAAAATTTTAAACAATGCATTTATTAAGCATCTTTTATAGGCTTGCACTTTCATATACTTTATTTTACATAATTCTTCCACCAGTGAGAATAGTGAGGAACAGAGCAGTGAAGTGAAGTGTTCCTACTCATTTAGCAAATGATACCATTGGCATTCCAGTTCAGGTCTTCTTCCTTCCAAGTTGTGAATCCATGTCATTACAGGTACCTTATAACATGCGCAGCAGTAGAAAATAGTAGTTGCTGACTCTTAGGTGCCAGCCTCACACTATCTCTGTCCTTGTCTCTCAATATGTTTACAATTTTGAGAAGCCATAACTCCCATGAACTTTCTTTGGATTAACTCACTCAATTTGAATTTGATGGTCATAGTAAAAGAATATACTATAAACTCTTCTTCATTCCATCTTCACTGAAGTAAAGTAACCTATCTCCTGTCCATGGCTAGAGATACTTTTTTTAAAATTAGAAAATACAGTAGATGCCAGAGCAGGTGGAATTCTTGACTTTCCCAGCTACTTCACTGATGAGTGAAATACTGCTGTCTCAGTTTCTGAAGCATGACCTCATCTCAAATACATGCCAGTGTTCCAAAAGTTCACACCAAGCTCCTGCTGTGCTTCCGTACCACCCTCACCCCCCAGATTCTGAAGCACAGTTGCATACACTTGAGATCTGGGAATGTAAGTGAATAGGGGACTTAAATGAATGGTCCCTAATATCCAGCTGACTATTACAGCATTTCAGACCCAAAACCTATCTATGATTTTGTCTTGCATTTGTTATGTTACTTTTCTCCTTTTGTTCATAGACATTTTTTTAGTTGGGGTGCTAGGGATAGAATTCAGGATTTTACAAATGCCAGGCAAGTTCTCTTCTACTGAGCTATACCTCCAGCCTCCATAGATATTTAAAGCTAGGAACTTTCCAGAAATTTAGTAGCATCTAATTTTTTTTGTAAGCCTATCCTTTAGTTCTAAGAAAAGGTTATATGGAAGGTTTTCTGATTCAGATTCACATACATGCACCTTCATCATACATGTATTTGACTACTTAAAATTAACACAGTTGTGATGAAAAAAAAAGTCAAGGTTGAGTTTTGACATTGGCTGCACTTTGAAACTGCTTCTGCAGACTTACTAATTTGTTCATACAGCTTCAAGTGAAGTGCTTACTGTAGGATACTGTCACTTTTCTATGCCATTCCAAAGCAGCTGAGTGTAGTCTTACCATTTCTCAACTGTTCAGTGTCTTCTTATCTACTTTGAATATTGAAGTTTAACTTTCTTATTTAATTTATTTATTTAGGTTCTTTTGACATAGGGTTTCACCTGTGAAGCCAGGTTAGCTTCAAACTCATGATCCTCCTTCCTCAGCTTCATAAATGTTGGGATTATAGGCATACACCACCACACCTGACTGGAAGTTTTACTTTCCGTGACTTAACAGTAAAGTATGCACTACATTAGAGGTTATATGGCAGTTATTGGAGTCATTGGTGGTGTGAGTTGGAGGTGGGTCATGTAATTGTCAAGGTGATCCATAGAATGGCTGAATTTCCTGTTTCAATATTGAAGCTTCATCCAGATACGAGGTAGCATTATTTTTCTGTCCCTTTACGAGCATCTTTTCTTTAGAGACTGACTGCTCAATATATTCTTCATTATCAAGATTAAAAGCATATTTTTCCTTTTTCTGGTTGTAATTATATTACAACTTGCATATTTCATGGTTTCGTGATCACTAAAAATACAAGAGTAAAAACATTGAAGAATTTTCCATTCTCCCTGGTAAAGTTTAGCAGCTCTATTATATACATAGCAATTTCAGGATTTTGGCAATTCTTTCTTCTCAGAAAGGAAATTTTCATTATTTTGACCTTTGTCTCATCTCTACAACTTTTGAAACTATTTCCAAACTGTTGAAAATATCAATAAAACTCTGGGATTTCTAAAGATTGCCCAGAAAAAGACTGGTCAAGTAGCATACACTGTGTAAAATGAAGCATATAAGATGAGAAAAGGGCTGGGCATAGAAAAACGAATTATCTTCAGGCTTATCTTCTGTATCAGTTTTCCTCTCTGCCAGTAATCCTTATAGCATCAGATAGACCTAAAGAAAACTGTAATAAATAAATACTGGTGACAGTCTTCTTTCTAGTTCATTAATTTTGCTTAAAATTGACTTGAAACACATGTAAGTACATGTCAAAGCTGATACATTCACCTTAAAGTTTTAAAATGTACTAAGCAAGTCTGCAGATTATTTGTTCTTTGTACTTAAGGCTGATCCTAAATAGTTCATATTGCTTTATTATAGTAATTTACAGTCTTTTTTGGTGGTGATCATTAACATTTATATTTTTCTTTGGTAGTTGTATGTAGCTGTATATTTTTGCAAAGTCATCTTTGTTCTATTTTTAGCTTATTTTTAAACCTTTGCATTTTACATCAGCTTCAAAATGCAGATCCTCCACTAAGCTCAAGCTTGAAATTTAGGGCTCTAAAACATTTTTCTAAAGCTGTCAGCAAGTCATAGTTGTAGTCTATGCTTGGAGGAATACCCAAGGGCACTGAAGCTACTTCATTAGAGTTACATGGACTGCTTACTAACACTAGATTCCTCGTTTGAGGCCCCACACCATTGTACAGCATTCTAGTGTGAGGCCTGGGAGTCTGCCTTTTAAACTAGCTCCCCCGGCTGATGGTTTGCATACTGCATTTTGAGGGCTACTGCCTTTTGGTATATGACAGAGCCTTGTTTTACAGCATCGTTCTCTAAAGTGCAACACTATTTTGGTCCTCAAATATGGTTGATGGAGGCTTGAGTTTACCCAGAATGAATGCACTTCTGTTGCTTTTGGAGCCTGTAAGTCCAGGTACTCTGGTACTAAACAGATAGCACCTTTCAGCTAGGCAATTTGTTAATTCTCTTCTCAGGTTTCCAGGCATTCGTGGGCATGTTGATGCTGAAACGGTTTTTCATTTAGGTGATAGAGATAGTTTTTCCTCAAGGAAGGTGAGAACACAATATACACTTAAGTCTTAAGAAAATTTTTAGACATTGCTCTAATACCTTTGTTCTTCCATGTTACAAGCTTGTTAAATTATCATCTCTTTGTTATAAACAAAATAGTTCTCTCGCTTAAATTAGAAGTATTACAAAAGAGATTCTTGATGTCTGTGAGCGTGGATGGGAAATTATCTTTATTTTCACTGTTCCTAGATTGAAATTTACTGTTTCCTTCAATTAAGAACATAGATAATTAACTGTAGTAGTATAAGCTATGTCTGTGATTTTATTTCCTGTAGAAAGTAGATATTTTTGTACTTATTGTTGCAGATATCTCAATATATTGCCTGTCTCATTATATAAATCTTGTGTGTAGCATATCTTTAAATTCGTATCTTCTGAATTAATTGATTTTTTGAGATCATAGCTGTTTTATTTTTTGCATTCACAAATATTTTGAGAAGGGATCCAATCTATAAGCTTCATTAGATTGCAAGAGAGGATCGGGTATTAAAAAAGGGTTGAAATACCTATAATCGGTCTTTTCTAGAATCTTCTTTCTATACCATTTTTGAGATATTTCTCTTAAATTTTGTTTTTCTAGTTCTTATAGTCATCTCATTATTATGCATTTTTTAACTGTAGCTGACTCCACTGGAACCCATTCTCTGTACACAACATACAAAGACTATGAAATTATGTTCCATGTTTCTACCATGCTCCCGTACACACCTAACAACAAGCAACAGGTAAGAGATTCTCATGTTATCCGTGTTTTCCCCCTCAATTCATTTCCCCAAAAGCCTAAGTAGCAAGTTTGTAAAATTTGAAACCAGAATTTAGTGTTGCACCTGTCGCAGCAGCAGGAAGCTTTGTGCTTTGTGCAAGTAAGGAATAGCAAATGAGCTGAAAATAATGAAGAGACACAAATTTTAGGTGAACAGCCAGCTGGATGGCTTTGTGAATTAATCATTTGCTTTTTCACCCACGGGGATTGAAGTTTTCATGAAATCTGAAGAGAACAAGTTGAAATGATGGTGATTAGATGACTCTGCAGGGTTGCAAAGAGCATACACAAGTGGGTGAAGCGTCATCTCAAGAGCCCGATGCAAAAAGCAGAAAAGTAATGTTTCATTTAGATTTCAAAGGAAATTTAGTATATCAACATGGAGAAAAGTCAAAATAAGTGTTGATGGGATCTCAAAATAATGTTTTTAACAGTTCATCGGGAGCTAGCAAGGAAGTTAAATAACAATTGTGTCTGTGTACATCATACCTGAGCGTCTGCCTGAAGAAGATCTCAAAGTACAATGCCTAATTACTAAAATGTAACTGAGACAGTAAAATGTAGAAACTAAGACATGACAGAGTCTTGTGGAGGAAAATGGAAACTGGCAGCACTGTTGTAGAGAATATATGGAATTGGTTTTTTTTTTTTTTTAAAGTTTGAAATAAATGATAAACTGAAATTTAGATTTGTTAGCTCTCTAGTTAGCAGACTTCTTTTCATAGTTATTATAAACATACATGTGCAATCCAGACTTACTTCTGACCTTAAAGTGGGTATTGATTTTTGTTATTGTCAGTTGTTGTACTAACATAACACAGGCCACCTGCAGAATGAATCACATCCTCTTTCATAGAATTTAACACTGATCAAATCTAATGCTTCATCCACTTTAGGTTTGATTAAATCACAAATCTAGGTAACAAAATTTGGCCTTTCCTGATTATCAGAGTAATCAAAAATAGGAAACAAAGCAATGATTCAGCTATAAATCTGAAATAAACCTATTTTAAGATTAAGCTCCCTGATCTAGACTTTCTTTGCAGTTTCCTTTATACAGACTCCAAGTTCTAGATTTCTCTGAGAGAAAAATACCATGCTGAGAAAGATATGCAAGATTTCTTATTCTGACCAATGTGTAGAGAAAAAGCTTAAGAACATGAACAAATGATCTTTCAAGGGGAGTTAAAGGCTGATTCTATCTGATTACTCAGAAGAAAAAGATGAGATTTGTCAGGGTAACAAGAGTTGATTGTTCCTAAGTTAATTGAAGTACTAGGCAGAATGGGTTTTCATTTAAGTGGACAACTATCTAAATTATTAAATTTTGGGATTCAATCAAATCAAAAATTTTATGGTTGTAAATCAGAATGAGAGAGTAATTCTACATATTATGACATTTTCATTCCCTAGCTGATGAATTTATTTTTTTCTCACTCTCTTTCTCTCTCTCTCTCCATATATAACTTTGTTTGGAAAAATGTAAAGAATGTATCTTTTTAAATCTTTTTGCATGCATTTTAATTAAATTATGTATAGCAAGCATAAGATTGATCAGTGGATTTGTTTCTATTTGGGCCTTTATTAAGATTTTTATTTCACATGTCAAGATGTATGTTGAAAGAGTGAAATTGTATGAAAAGATACTGACATCATCTGTGCAGGAATGATGAGCATATAGATAAGTAGCACGTTTGTGTCTAAGATCCTGAGTATGTTAATAATCTTTATTTGTTGGTATATTTTGAGTAGCATTTCATTCAGTCCAGCTCTGATTTTCATAACACCTGATTATATATCATGTCTAAAAATGAAGTAAATGATAAAATGCCTGATTGGAAGATCATTTGGGGTGCCTTCAAGTTCCTAAGGTTAAAAGTACATTTCCGAACCATCCTAAATCCTAATTCTCAGTCCGAATCTAAAAGGCTGTTATTTCTCCTGGCTGACAGTCAATACTGGATCATTGATTTTACTGATAATTTGTGTGTCTCAGTGTCACTAGATCATTTTATTTAATTTGATTTATTTATTTAAGCAAGCAGTACTGGTGTTTGAACTCAGGGCCTTGTGTTTGCTAGGCAAGTACTTCCACTTGAGTCAGGCCTCCCAACCTGCATCACTAATGAATTTTAAAACAAGTTTTATAAGTACAAGCTTATGTCTAATAGATAGTTTATAGATGTCACATTTAGTTTTTTTCTCTTAAGAACTCCCATAAGTATGACAAATACAAGTTTTGTTTAATTTTTCTTTATAGTACTGAATTAAATTGTAAGTCCTCCCAAAGAGACACTGGTGTAGAATGATTTGGTGTGCCTGGATTTGAAAACCACCTATATTAAGCACCAATTAACATAAGTTTGGTCTAACGTAACTTTCTCTGTAACTCAGCAAGCTGTTGAAAACTAAAATGTAATCTGCCTTTAAATTGTTGCCACATTTGAAATATTATTAATTTTTATATTCCCAGATAGTGACAAAAAAAGTCTATTAGAAAAAAACTTAGCCAACATTTTCTTTAAACAACGCCAATTAAACCAGAACAGAAATTGCGTTGTAATTACTTCAGTGGTTCTCATCTCTAAATATCTTCCCCCGTGGCAAATTTCTTTCCTATATGAAAGTGAAACAAAACTGCTGTTATAGAAACTGAAGGTTTGGAGATCCGGGACTTGGCATAAGAGGCCAGAGATGAGTTGGATCTCATCTCTGAATGGCTGTGTCTTTCATACAACTTTCAGAATATTCATTTCCATAGTCTTCCTTGGAGGGAATAATAAGACAGGCTAAGAGACTGACAATAACTGTGTTGATTACCTACACTGATGTGTACTGATTAGTAATGAATGTGTTAAATATAGTTACATAAGGGAATTGGGGAGGGTGGAAATTGGAGCATTGTCATTTATGTTGGTTGCTTATTTTTTCTTGTAGCTCCTACGGAAGCGGCACATTGGCAATGACATTGTAACAATCGTTTTCCAAGAGCCCGGAGCACAGCCATTTAGCCCAAAAAACATTCGGTCTCACTTTCAGCATGTTTTCGTCATTGTCAGGGCTCACAGCCCCTGTACTGACAGTGTCTGCTACAGGTATGTGTCAGTGCTACAAGAGTGGCTAGGTGGTCATTGGCTAGTTGTTATGTAGAGGCACCATCCTGCTCTGCTTTCTAAGTGGCAAGGGGGAGTCCATTACTGTTACTCACTTTGTCTTCACATTGTGTATGTAGTTGGCTAAATTTGCATGATGACATAACCTGCTGGTGTTGGCATTCCCCAGACTTGTTGGTTAGATACCTGCTGTTTCCATTTGCACCTCCTCCTTAGGTAGGGTCCTTCATCCATACCATCTGGTCATCAACTAGCTAATTACTCATACTGCTAATTATATATATTTTTTGGTGTGACAGGAACAGAGAAGAATGATCATAATAATCAGGAGAGAGAAGTTCATTTTTTAAACATTATTGGGATTTAAAAAGCCCAAACCCTTGCTTAGGACTCTAAGATAATTTCTTCGTATAATCTCAGAGGCATTTCTATGCTGTATTGGGCATCTTGGTATTGTTTCAAATACCCTGAGCATTTGAATATTCCATCTTCCGGATTCATGCAGAGGATTGCATACTACAGTATAGGGAGAAGCTAAACCACTTTTGAATGGGCACTAGGGAGTTTGGGGAATGGAAAGCTACATGATTTCTTTTGTCTTTTCAAGCCTTTGTCTAAATCAGTTCTGTCCAATAGAAATATAATGTAAGGCACATCCTAATTTATATTTTCTAATAGGCAGATTTTTAAAAAGTAGTAAGAAATAGGTAGAATTAATTTTAACACTGTTTTTGACCCAGCATTGTTTTATTTACCAGATATATCTAAGTATTAATATTCCAACCAGAATTAACACATAATTTAAAATTTTTTAAATTGTTGCAACACTTAACATTTTTTGGACTGTTTGCATTCTAGGATACATTTTAGAATTAAAGTATGTCTCAGGACAGACTTGACCTGTTTCAGGAGTTCATAAAATTTACAATTGAAAAATTAGAATTGAGTAGATCCACTCCAAGCATACTTTTTAAAAGCTTTGGACCAACTTAAATATCACACTGTAAAATGTATATTAATTAAAATTTAATATAATTTAATATTTCTTGGTCACAATAGCCACATTTCTGGTGCTCAGTAGCCACTTGGGGCCAGTGGCCACCATAGTGAGTAGCATAAGTCTAATCAAATTGCTAAGGTCACCAGATGCTTCCTTCACTGTTTAGCTCTTGTATTTTTATCACACACACATGCTCACACACACTCCAAAAATGATGATTTTTGTTCTCTCTTATTTTGAATCTTTGTAACCCCACCATGTGGGGATGGGGGTGTCCTAGCACCCCTACTCATGACATGTAAGTATGTCTGGAATTCCCTTGTTGTCAAGCTTGTCTGAGGCCCCAACACATTGTTTTTTCATCTGTGAGTTTAAGACATTTGTAAATCCAAGATAACTTATCCTTTTGTAGCTTCACTGAGATAAATCACAAAAAATTATAAAATAGTGACTTTTTCCTACTGTAAACTTAAGATATCAAATTTATCACTGATCTTCTTAAATGAGGTGTGTTTCTTGGGGTGTGTGGGATGTCAGGAGATATCTGAAGGCCCAGAATAAACAGAGTTCCTCTCTTGCAGACTTTAATGCTAAAGTTAGGGGAGAAGAAAGGGCTTATTTTTTTCATTAAAATAAATATATTATGAAGTAGAGTAGGAAATTTGTATCAATTTTAACATGATCCATGGGTCCTCAAAGAATTTTTTAACTGAGTTTTCCCCAGACCTCAGACACTCTCACACTACTAGGGATATGAATTAAAAAACCTCTTTCAGTAACTCTACTATAGTAGAAAAGTTTAGAGATGTATTGATTTATTCTAATTTTATTTAAATCTGATTTAACTTTCACCCTAAGTAATCTAGTTAGAGTAAATCAAATGTTTTTTATCATTTAAAACTTTAATTCTTGGCCCTACCTTTTTCCAGTAGGAACATTCATAGACTTTTCTACTGGTACCTGAAGTGTAGAACATGGGACCATCATTTTCTCCAGGAGCCGTCTTACTGTAACAATATAGGGAAGCTGAAGTTTCAAGGAAATTTAAGAAAGTGGGATTCATTATGTGTGTTTTGAAGAACAGACAGATGGAATTCAATGAGAACAAGAGGAATAAGTTCAGGAGTGCTGAGTGGTGTGTGCTGAGCATGGAGACAGAAGGAGAGTGGAAAACACAGGAGGCTCCTAATATAGAGAAGAAAACTAGGCAGTAGAGGTCTTTTGAATGCTGGGCCAACAAAGTAACCCTGTATAAATAGAATTTTAGGAAATTTTACCCTGTATCACCATGCAAAGCAGTTTATATACAAAAAGATAAATTTGGAAGTTGTCTATTTATCTTTTACTATTTCTTTTATTCAGTATTTATCATGTAAGTACTATCTTGACCCTGGGATATAACAGAAGAACAAAAGAAAATTTCCACAGTGGATCCAGAGATAAGGTCCTGAAATAATGTGGTGGTATACCTCCCTAAGGGCTGGAAAGTTTAGCCAGTTAACCTTGAATAGTCTTGACATAGCCAAGAGCTCAGAAATCAGCCACTGAGTCTGTGTACTAAAGCTCGCCCTGTAATTAACTAGAGAGTCCTCCAGTCTCTGTTATTTTATTTGTATCATTACAGTAAGCTTAATTGCCTGGTCCCAGCTGATAGAGCAGATTAAAAACAGCAAATAAAAAAGATAAAGGAACCATTAAGGACAAAACATACCAATGCCATCAATATGTGATTATTGTTAGAAGAGATGCAGAAAAACTAGTCATATCAAAGATACAAAGTCAGTAAGCATAGCAGTATGGGTTCATTTGATTTGAGGGCAACAACCAAAAGTATACTTCACATACCCTGAAAGCTTCACAAAAACACAGTGTAGAATATCACCATTTTCCAGCAACTAGTGAGTTCATGGATTTAGCATTGATCATTAAAAGTTGCACACATCATAAAAAAAGACTAATATGTGTCCCATAATGGAAAAATACAGCCTCACCTATGAATTAGTCTTGTTCTCTCTCCCCCCAAATTAAATCTGAATCTGATCAAACTTCTAGATAAACCAATATATGGGAAATGCAAAACTCAGACAAACATGGTTACAGTTGACAAAATTTAGATTTTGGATAACTCTAGATGACAAAACAGTCCAATTTCCCGATAAATTGTAAGTGATGAAAGAGTAAGAGAAATGGACTGGAATTTATAGAATAAAATTTTTTTAAAAGGAAAACTAATTATAAGGATTGGGGTGTAACTCAGTGGTAGAATACTTGCCTAGCATAAGTGAGGACCTGGGTTCTACCCCACACTGGGGAGACAAAAGATTTAACTAATTGGTATGTGTGGACCTTACTTGGGTCCTAATTTAGAAAAAAAAAGACTATAATGAAAATCTTAAGATACCTTAAGTAATTGGAAATTGGATAACTGATTCCCATTTGATGACATTAAGCAAAAATTCATTTACAACCTGGATAATAAATAATTATAAAAATGACCCTTAGTCATCAAAACAAATGTTCATTGTAACCAGTAGCTAAATTTCGGAAGGTAGAAATACATGTTATTTCCTCTCAAAAAGGTTTCCATTTTCAGTGGTTAAAATGTAATAAATATTGAAGTCCGTACAATATAATGCAAAAAGCACTTGGAATTAGACCAGATTGTGCAACTTCTTAGATCTTGAATTTCCCTTTCTGTGCTGTGAAAGGTTGCCTATGATAGCTACTTAAAGTCCAGTAAATACTGAGCATAGACAAGGGAGTATAGTTTGTGCCATTAAATGTCCTGTCTGCCCTTTTTAATTTTTTCTGCTAGAAAAAGAGTGAATCTATTTGCAAGGTTCATCTAAGAAGAGAAAGGCAAAATGTCTCAAGTGGGGGAAATTTCTTTCAGAAGATCCACCCATAATTAATCAGCATCATTGTGGTCTAATGCAGTGGAGTTTTCTAAGACAAAAATCTAAATATGTCACTCTTTGTGCTTAAAATACTTAGGAAGTAGTTCAGACACACTAACACAGCCTGCTGCTTGGGGTTATTCAGATCTGATCTCTCCTGTCTCAGTCTCTCCTGGCTCCTCTGCAAAGCCCTCTCCCCACTGTGTCACTCTGTGCAACTACTTAATCTTTCAGGAACTGCGAGATGTACCCTACACCAACTGTTCTCTGGCCAGTTCTTTTCTTCACACACATTTGCCCCTCTTTCTTCTCATGAGCCCTGCTTTGTTTTCCTCTGGGAGGGCTCCTGTGACTTTTCAGGACTGTGGTACCTTTACTAAGTGTTGCCATACAGCCCTACACTTCCCAGTAGAGAACTCTAACTATTGGAAGTAGTCCCCACCAGACTTCAAGTTTTGCCTTTGATCCCCAAGAGTAGCCCAGAGTGTCCAATGTGGCACAAGTGGTAGAGCACCTGCCTAGCAAGTATAAGGTCTTGGTTCGAATCCCAGTACTGCAAATAAAGAGTAGTACAGAGCCTGTGTGTAGGAGGAGCTCAGTGACTGCTGTTGAAGGACAATCCAGTGCTACCCAGAAAGAATGAGCAACAAGTGTATGTTATGCCCCTGTTCTTTCTTGTCTTTTCTCTAGATCTGCCTTCTTAGAAAGCTCCCCAAGCTGCAGTTTGACCCAGGCCCCAAGAAGGGAGCCTCCCTCGACCATGGGAATATTTCCTGTGTCACCTTCCTTTTAAATGGAGGGGGAGAAGGCTAATTCTGGTTTGTTGTTGTTTCCATTGTGCTTCCAAAGTTCACGTGTCTTTTTCTCACTTTTCCATTAAGACTTCTATTCACGTGTCTCACAGCATTCCTGTGTATCAACTTGAAATTGGCTTTGGGTTTCAAGACCCATTGCTTCATCCAAGATGTTTGATGCCAGCAAATGTTACATGGCCTAAATCAGCTAGACAAAGCCTTGTGGTGACCTCATGATCTCTTGGACCATGAGACCCATGTGTATGTTCCTTTTCAGCAAGTATCTCAGGGTGGGAAGAAGTTTGAAACCTTTCTTCAGAGGGACTAATGAGGTCTTGTCCTTGAGCTCTCTTTTGGCTGCTGAGAGCTTGACTTCAGTCCCAGCTCTCTCTGGCAAGATTTGTACTCCCTTTGCACACGGAGGTAACCACAGGGCACCTTTCAGGTCCTTCTGCCATTCTCAAGGATTTTGGAGACCATACTTTCAGGTTAAAATGGACATAGCTATTCCTTGGTAGAATGTAAGACTAAGGTGGATTTTAAGATGAAGCTCAAGATTTTATTTGAAGAGTTTGAGGACCAGCAGCTTCTCCAAGTTTCCTTCCAGTGCTGACTTTCCCTGACTGCTGCCTCTGAGCACTGTCTGTCTGTCCTATAACCAAGCCTCCTGGGCTGGACATCCCAGTCTTAACACTGCTGGGTAAATAAGGCGTGTCTGTAATTGCAAAGAATGTATTATTTCCAAGATACAGTATTGCAAACCAGGCTAACACAAGTTTGGCCAAGCAGAGGCCCTTTGAAATCTGCCTTTGAAAATAGCAAGAACCATTTGCAGTTAATATCTCTTAAGTGTCTGTATAGAGCAAATGGTATGTTTTATCAAGGCAAAATACTCTAATTTAAAACAGGCCTTATTATCAAGAGTTCGGCACATGTGGCATCTAAGTTAATGAGCTCTTAACCTTGTAGAAATGTTGGAAGTTAGACTTATTCAAAACAAAACTATTTGAAAAGAGCATTTGAGGGTATCATCTTCCACATCTTGTTCTTCTGTGAAGATTCTATTTGTAATAATGCAAAGCTGATTTTAGTGTCTGTATCATTTACCTCCCCACCATGGTGAGTCATGGATAATTACATGTTAAAGATTCATTTCTCTCCCTCAAAGTTCAATCTAGAAGCTCCTAATTATTGGTGGGTTTTCAGCATATGTTTGTCTAAAGTTCTATCACTTAATAAATAGCTCTATCAAGAGCCAGTGGGTTTAGGGGGAGGGGCAAGTAGATGGATTGTGCTCATACTCCCTGCTAAGCATGTTCTTCTCCTTAGTTAAAATAAACCCACAGCTGTTTCCTGAGAAAGAATAATTATTTAAGTGAAATTAGCAAGAGAAGAAATTGCCAGTTTTAAAATGAAAGATACTAAATGTTTCTGGACCCTTACAAGATTCCTTTTAGAAAATTTAGCAAATCTGGATTTTGCTTGACTTCAAAAGAAAAAAACAACAACAGGATCAAATTAAAATTATATAGCTGTCAGGATTCAAGCCAGACAGTGCACAACAGACAAGATAAATTGCCTTTCTAATACTGGTATAATTAGGCCATAATGCATGCAGACCGAGGTGTCCATGAATTCTCTTCTCCAGTAAAGAAAGCATTTCTTTACATCTTTGTCATAAGTAAACCAGGTAGTCTTAAAAAAAAAAAAAAAACTTGTAACAACCAACAAATAGGCAAATCTGTGCTATCTTCTGATGGTGTAGCTTTTCGTTTCATGATAACATTATTTCTGTCATAAGACTGCTGATTTTATTTATCCTGTTTTCATAGATAATTTTTCTTAACGTGAGGCTGAGTATCTTAGAGCATACCCTTCAAAATAAAACCTGACACAGCTCTTCAATTTAATTTGAAAGGCACACACTTTGATTAGCCTTCTATTCTGGGAATTCAGATGAAACAGATTTTTATATTGCTTCCTTAACACTTAGTACAATTGCATAATTGACTCACTTTTAAATAATTTGGGAAAAGGAATGTTTGATCTATTAGGATCATCATTTCCAGCCATCCCACTCAAATCTTGGCTGAGGGTGTCACATGTAACCTCAGAACATGATACAGAACACACAGCCTCTCTGTTTCCATTTAATTCCTTTTGTTGTTTTTAGGACAAATTAAATGTTTTTCCTTTTGAGATTTAAGTTAATAAGCCATTACACATGTCCATATGATCGTTTTTTTAGATCCATTTTTGCAATGTACATGCAGAAGGAATGATGAGAACAGGCTTTCTTATGTCAGTATTGCTTAAAGAAATGGAAAGAAGAGGCTGGGCATGGATGCTCACACCTGTAATCCTAACTACTTGGGAGATGGAGATTGGGAGAATTGTAGTTTTGGAACCAGCCTAGACAAAGAAGTCTGAGAGACCCCATCTCAATTAATAGAGCTGGGCATAGTATTACACACCTGTCATCCCAGCTCCATGGGAAGTGTAAATAGGATCGTGATTTTAATGTGCTGTTGGTGTTACATAAAGTTGGTAATCATTCTGTTACTCAATGTTTTTATTTTTAAATTATGTTTTTAATCTGATTTCATAATGTCTCAGATATGGGCCAACAATTTTACTAGAAATTTAATTCATTCCTTATATGCCATTTGCAGTATATGCTGTGTGCTTGTAGACATCCTTTCTAAGATGAAGGACACATTTGTACTCTGACAGAGTCTGTGCTTGTCCTGAAAGTTTACGTGATTATGGTAATCCCTTTCCCTTGCACGAGACAGTATTCAGAATGTCTTATGTACAGTATTGTGGTAAAAATCTTTGTTTCATAGAGTTGTAATTAGTCCCCTATCTGTTCAAGAGATGAAAGTTTTAACTTTAAGCATTTAGGAGTTTTTTCATAGAAAAAATATTATATTCTCTGAAGCCTAAATGAGGTTGAATGAAAAAGTGTGCTCATATTTAACAGAAATGTATGTTGTTCCTTATAGGGGAATAAGTAGTTACTGTGATTTTGAGTTATTTCTTTGTCTATTTCCCCACCCTCGGGATTGAACCCAGTGCCCTGCACATGTTATATAAGAGCTCTGCCACTTAGCTATACCCCCATCCTGTCTTTGTGAAAATATAGTTTATTCTCATGTTGTAAGACTGAGAAATATTGACACACCTCTTCCCTTTGTCAGTGTGGCCGTCACCAGGTCAAGAGATGTGCCTTCCTTTGGACCACCCATCCCTAAAGGGGTCACTTTCCCCAAGTCAAATGTGTTCAGGGACTTCCTTTTGGCCAAAGTGATAAATGCAGAAAATGCTGCTCATAAATCAGAAAAGTTCCGGGCCATGGCAACTCGGACCCGCCAGGAATACCTGAAAGATCTGGCAGAAAAGAATGTCACCAACACGCCTATTGACCCTTCTGGCAAGTTTCCATTCATCTCTCTGGCCTCAAAGAAGAAGGAAAAGTCGAAGCCATATCCAGGAGCTGAGCTCAGTAGCATGGGGGCCATTGTGTGGTCAGTCCGGGCCAAAGACTACAACAAGGCTATGGAAATAGACTGCCTTCTTGCGATCTCCAATGAGTTCATCATCCTCATTGAACAGGAAACAAAGAGCGTGGTTTTCAATTGTTCCTGCAGAGATGTGATAGGGTGGACTTCAACTGACACCAGCCTCAAAATCTTCTATGAGCGAGGAGAGTGTGTGTCAGTGGAGAGCTTCCTTAGCAATGAGGATATCAAAGAGATTGTCAAAAGACTACAGGTGAGTCTTTTCCTTCCTTCCCTCACTCACATTTAAGTTACCTGTTTTAATACCAAGTTCATAAAGCTTGTCCTGTTTTATTAGCTACATGGGAAACCTGATGGTAGGACACAGGAATTCATCTCAGACTTGTGTTTTCCATCATTTATTGAGAAAAGTCGCAGAAAGAGTGGGAGGAGGATGCTTGACTGTGTGTTGGAAACTCACTGGCATGTAACTTGATACCTTTGTCTTGCCCACTGATGTTGCAGCCCAGCCAATCTGGTGTAGATGTTGAACAGAGTTGTTTTATTTAGTGTGTGCTGTCCTGATTTTTTTTTTTAAGGGAATTGAGTAGCAGAACACAGTTTCTCTTTGCTACCTATAGGTCTCTGTTAACTTGTTTCCTTATAACTTCAGGGAAGCCTTGAACTCATTGGATGCAATGAGTATGTTCCTTTTGGCCTAATGAATAGAAACTGGACATAACCAGCCTATCTCTTCAGCTGGCAGTAGTGTGTTCAGGAATAATCCTGCTTTCAGTGTTTGACCAGTCCATGTCCACGACTTTGATATCTTATCCACTAAGCCCCATACCTTTGATTTTCTTTTCTAGTTTGTTTCAAAAGGTTGTGAATCTGTGGAAATGACTCTGCGCAGGAATGGGCTAGGACAGCTTGGCTTCCATGTGAACTACGAGGGCATCGTGGCAGATGTGGAACCCTATGGCTATGCCTGGCAGGCAGGGCTGAGGCAGGGCAGTCGCCTGGTGGAGATCTGCAAGGTGGCAGTGGCCACCCTGAGCCATGAACAGATGATTGATCTCCTGAGAACATCCGTCACGGTGAAAGTTGTCATCATTCCCCCCCATGATGACTGTACCCCACGGAGGTAGGTCTAAGATGGCAGCTGTACCCCACAGAGGTAGGTCTAAGCAGGACATCTCCTGGAAGGTAGGGAAGCAGGGTATCGTGCAGAGAAGTAGATCCCATATGATGCTGGTTCCTCCCATGGAAAGTCTGACTCAAGACATAGCTCCCTCTCAGCACCTGGCAACAGCAGCTAGAAAGAATGACTAACTGGGTCCAGTTCCAGGATTTACATTTCTAGATTTGTAAAGTTTTTGGTCCAGATAGAGAAGTCTGCTAATATCCCTCTTAAAGAGCATCTTGTGCCAGTAGCCAAGAAGCATTGAACACTTAACATTAAAAGACACTCAGTATCTCACATTGTTAAGGTTTTTTTTGCAGGGGCGGGGGTGGGTGGTTGTTCCATGATGCCCATATCCTCCTTGCTCTCCCATTTGTACCCAATTGCTATCCAAAACTCAAAGTGTTGTTTTGAACCCTGCTGTCTGACGTGGACAGCTGAATGTGACTTGCAGGCTTTTTCCTGCCTGCATCAGCTTGTGCTGGGACTTTGCTTTAGATGATGTGTCCTGCCTGAGATACTTCAGCAGTTTGGGCTCCAGCCTTCTCCCAAGGGAAAACACAAGAGCTCCCACCCGCCCAACTCCTGCTAAGCTAGCAGTACTCTCAAATTTAATTTCTCTGCCTCTAGAGAGGTTTCTTGATGAAACAAATTTAATCAACTGTTTTTCTACTTTGGGCTTACACAGGCTATTTTTGCTGTTTTTTTAAAAATCTGTTATTTATTTTTAGCCATTATTTTCTGAGCATTTCTCTTTAGCTTTGGCAATTAATTCTTAAGCCTTCTAATGCCAAGACCAAGTTCTTCATCCTGTTTTCCCAGTCCTGAGCCTGAGAGCGCATGGATTTATGGTTATCAGATGGTAGAATACAAAAAGTTACAAAGGATTATTTGGGTAAATTAAGCAACAACAACAACCTAAATATTCCTAGTTATAACCAGACTTTGCTCAAAATAATACTTCCCAATACTGCTTATCTCATAGATGGCTCAGGGATTATTATATGCCTATATTAATATATAGTGCAGTCCCTTAGTCTGAAAGCTTTAAGAAATGCTATCTTTTGGATCACTGGATTTCTCAAGAAACCAAAAGTATATGCAGAACTTTTTATTTCAGCTGTTTTTGGTATGGGGCATATTCTGAAGCTGCCCCACATGCATGAATTGTCTTGGTTACAGGTCTCATGAACCCTAGTAGCCTTTCTGATTTCCTTAAGTACAGTATCTTAATGTCAAGCATTCTGCTGAACTGGGATTCAAAACACCTCACAGTGGCTGTCCAAGTGCCTTGCATTCCTCCTCTTATTGCCTGTCTGCTGGCTCTTGGGATCTCTCTAAACAGAGAACTGTCAAAACTTTTTTTGTTGTTTTTTGGTGGTACTAGGGATTGAACCCAGGGCCTCAAATTTGCAAGTGCTCTACCACTTGAACCACATCCTCAGGTCTTTTGGGTTTTGATTTTGTTTGTTTTTGAGACAGGGCTGGATCCTCCTGCCTCCATCTCCTGAGTAAACTGGGATTACAGGCATGCCCAGCTTCTGAATTGTCAATCTTAAATACACACAATTAAGAGTTATAGACACTAGCCTAAGGACTGTCTTCTCAAAAATGAAACCCATAGACCTTGTGATGCTATCTTGTCTGTTCAGAGGTCTTTCTGTTATTTCTAGGCTTCCCAATTTATATGGGGGAATAGAGAGGGAAATGGATTGATGTGAGGGTAACATTAGGAGCAGACTTACTGACACTGAAAATGTGAATAGTTGTTTCTAGGAACATGGGTCAGAAGACCAGGCCCTGAGTAGACAGACCTGTGAAGAGAGGGTTTTCACCGCAGTGTACTAGACTAGATTTATCACTTTTGTGTTTTGGTAAGACGCACATTTGCTGAGTATTTCACTTTAATGTGCCATATGCTGGAAAAAGCACTATTGTATGGATTAATTCAGTTATATCTTACAACAATCCTGTGAGGTAATAGTATTACTACTCTTCCTGTTTTAAAGGAAACCAAGGGTAGTAACTTCCTAAACTCATCTGGCAGTGTCAGGTCTAATTTGAGCTCCACATTTGTAACTGTTACTCTTTATGCTGGCGCAGACCCTTGCCGTATACGCTGGAGGAAGCAGTGTGGATATACTGTCAGCTGGTTTTCTGTTGGGAGGAAAACCTTGGCTTATAGTATTGCTGACTCCCATGGAACCAGTACTCCCACTGTGGCCGATTTCAAGCCACTACCATTACATTTCTAAAGGGGGAGGGGATAAGATGGGACAAGCTGCTCCTGCAAGCCAGTATAGTTGGCTCCAACACACCACAGAGCCAGTGAGCTGCACGGTCTTCCTCTCTCAGCACCACTCCTGACCCGCCCAGCACCACTACATTTTGGCAGGCTGGAACAGAGGCTGGGTGAACGGTCAGTGAGCCCTCCCTTTACCCCTTTCACTGCGACTCCCATTAAAAAACCAGACCTTTTTGGGCAGGTGGGAAATGGTGCAGGGATGCCTTTGGAGGACTGAAGCCTGCTTCCCCTTCCTTTAGAAATGACTTCAAAGGGAACAGTTGAAGCATTAACACCTTGTTACAGTTTTAAGTAAAATAGGATAATGCTCTTCTGTCATTTTTTCTTCTCCTCCGCACTTCACACTCCCACTGCTGTTTTCCTAGCAACTAATTACTCTGTTCTTTGACTAGTCACTCTCCTCCTTTTTGTCAGCCTTTCCTTCAGGCAGCTCCAGTGTAAGGCAGAACAGGCCACTTAGACTCCCTGCCATTGCCACAGCCCCATGGTTCTCAGTGTCAACTGGACCCTGAGGAGGTGGGACTGTATATACAAGCCCCTGAGTTTGTATGTTTTCATGGGAGAGTCATTAATTTTGAAAAGCCAGCTTAAAAAAAAAAAAAAGCCAGTTTAACAGCAACAAAAAGGTGCTTAAATATCAAATGTAAAATAGGGCTTGTGTCCCTGTTTTAGGAAAAGAAGTTCCTTCTATGGGTTGCTTCCAAAATGGAAGGGGCTTTTTTAAGAGAAAGAATAAGGAGAAAAGCCAAGTTTCTGAGGCCCTGCTATAAACTGGGCATTTTTACTCCCTTTAAATCTTCATGGCAGCTTTATTCTCATTATAATGATGAGAAGTAGGAGGCTTGGAGAATGCAGTAACTGCCCAGAGAGTGAACAGGAGCAACTGGAAGGACAGAAAGATGAAAGCAGCAATGGTGGACCTGCCAGAAGATCGTGCATGTGCTCCCTCACCTCTGAGGCCCCCCACTTCCATCACCACCTCCAGAGTCTGTGACCTATGAGTCTTGGAAGTCATCCTCTTGACAAGAAGAAAAATACCTAGCTACAGATTAGATTGAGATGTTCTCAATGGAACTGCAGGGGAGTGGATAACTTCATTCTGTGAGGGACACTAGCCTGTAGTTTTTAAGGAAAGTAATCAAGGGCCATTCAAGAGCTAAAAACAAACAGTTACATAAAAAGACCAAATTACTTCCTTCTTTCTTTTTCTTTTTTGGCTGGGGATTTGAGAATCAAATTCCCTTCTAAATAAGAACAGGTCACAAAGTGTTTTATTCCTCTGAAAGTGGGAAAGCATGTTGTTTTAGAGCTAGAAGGGCTATTAGAACTCATGTGGCTCAAATCTTATTTTTCAGATGAAGAATGTTCATTGGAAGAAGTTGCATGTTTTTTTCTGATGCCAAAGTCACATGGCTTTGAGGAACCAAGCTGTCCCCAAAACATAAGGCTCTTCTGACTCAAGAGCCCAGTGTTGAACTATTCTGTTCAATATAATGCTCATCCATTTCTCTGTATTTCATAGTGTCATAGGAAGATGGAAAGAGTAATGAAAAATAAAAGAGAAGGAACAAAAAGACTGAAAAATAAAGAAATGGAGTGGTTTTCCAATAATTTTTGGTTTCAGTGGGTCACCAGTTGTCATTTTTAGCAAGGAAATTATAATTGCCACTTGCCACAGCTCTTCAATTGGATTTGTAAAAGTTGTTGAGTTCCCTTTTTGTCATAGTCTGTACCTTAAGTAAGATTTGATAGTCACCTTAGGTGAAAGATGTCTAGGGAGTTAACATGTTAAGCACTTAAATGAGACTAACCTATAGGTAGAGTAATTCTGAGGGTTCAAACCCCAGCTCTGCCACTTCCTGGCTGTGTAAACTGGGATCATCTCATCTTTTGAGGCCCCTACTTCTTCATCTGTGAGGGGCATAAGAATAGTGTCCCCTTCCTAGAGTTTCTGTAATGTGGCTAGGTTAGTACTTGGCCATTGCAAGCTAACTGCATTCAGTGCAGTTGCCATTCTTCACTGCTAAATTTTACTTCAGGTTATCTAATGAAAAGCCTTTCATGAACATTTATACATGGCATTAAAACCAGCCTTTATCTTTGTTCTTCATTCTGCTGTTCACTTCTTGATTCCATATATCGTTCCTATGTTTTGCAGAGATAACTAAGAGACCAGGCCCAGTGAGTTGCTGCCTTGCCATGAAAGACAATCGGAAATGGCAGGTGGCTGAGATTTAGCTCAATGTGAAGTGCACAGCAGATTTAGAAGAACATAAAATAGCTTGATAATCTTAACATTGATAACATGTTAAAATGATAACATTTTGGATATATTGGGTTAAATAAAATGTATTATTAATTTCACCAATTTTACTTTCTAATGTGACTACTAGTAATTTAAAAATCACATTTGTGGCTCATACGTGTAGTTCATATTCTACTTGTCTTGGACAGCAAAGTTTTGGATTCTTGCCCTACATTATCTCTGAAGTGCTTCATGAAGGACTGTTTCACAGTTGCTGTCACCCCCTCCTTTCCAAATCTTCCCACCTATTTCCAAATCCTTGCAGTTCCTATAAGAAAGGAAATCATTTTTTCACTTAGTGATGAAATTCAAATGCACAGTTTGAGTGAATACTTTAGTGGGAACAGAATTTATCAGTTAATAACTGATAATACCTCCCCTCATTGTTCAGGTATAAAGAATGGAAAGTGGGTTCCAGATTTCCTGGGGTTAGGGTTTCAGATGGTGGCACAAAATGGGGCTAAACAACAGTATGTTGCCTGCCATTAATTTCACTCAGGCTTCTGCCTGTGGATAGTCCTGCTCTGGGAGATTTCTTTCTTTGAAAAAAATAAAGTCTGATTTCAGATTATGCATTATTCCCTAGGAATTTAATAATTGTAGTGTTTGTATAATTGGGTTTTCCCCTTCTAAGCTAAATTTAGCTCTCAGTTTGCATTTCAGGATTCCTCCTGACTTAATTTCTTGACTCTTGGGATTCCAACACATTTTGAATTGTACCCCCTTACAGGTCCCTAATTGTAATACTCAGCAAAAGGTGTGCCATGCAATTGCTTGTTTCCTCTAAGGCTGCATGCTCAGGGTCTGCTCCCCTAGTCAATTGCCTTTCCCTCCTCAGGTCACCTTGGACTCGTCCCCTTCCCAGGGTGACTTTGGGTCCTGTGGTTTTTTTAGAGTCTCAGACTCAACAGTTGGGATTGAGTAAAGGAAAATACTAGTGTAATACTTCCTGGGGTTCTGGTTTTTGAAAGGAAAATAATTACAGGGCCCAGAGATTAAAAGAGGGTTAGAAGTAGAGGATGAAGTTTTGGATTCATTTTAAGTGTTAATGAGAATCAGCATGGTTCCACCAACAAGAAAAAGCAGTATTAATCGTTTTTCTCCCTGTTCCTTCTTCCAATAGGAGTTGCTCAGAAACCTACCGCATGCCAGTGATGGAGTACAAAATGAACGAAGGTGTTTCATATGAGTTCAAGTTTCCCTTCCGAAATAATAACAAGTGGCAGCGGAATGCCAACAAAGGGTCTCATTCACCTCAAGTCCCATCCCAGGTGCAGAGTCCCATGACCTCCCGGCTGAGTGCTGGGAAAGGAGACGGGAAGATGCCTCCTCCAGAAAGAGCTGCCAACATTCCTCGAAGCATCTCCAGTGATGGGCGCCCACTGGAGAGACGGTGAGCACACTTTCAAAGACTCGCTCAAAATTCTGTCCTAAGTTGAAATGACACCAGACTCATGAGCACTAGCTTTAGGCCTTCCCGTGTTTATTAGAGCTGGGATGCATTGCATGAATGGCTTTCAAAGCATGGTAGCATTCCAGAGCCATCAGGGTAAGCAAGGACATATTCTAGCAGCACATTCAGCCCTGCACATGGTATGTATTTGTGTTTTGCTCTTTCATTTCCATGGTATTATCAACAGAAATCAGCACTGAGCATTTAGGGGCCGTATGGATGAGAACTTGGCAGACTCTTTGAGGTGACAGTAACTATATTATCATCTTTGACAGTCTTCATTGTTTTGGGGCAAGCAAAAAGATAGAAGCAAGAAGATAGATAGGTTTTTGGCCAAATACCTGGGTTTCTGTCACTTTATTTAAAAAAAAAAAGAATTCTGAGAAAGGAAAACTGGAATAGCACAGCATATTTTCCACTGCTGTGAAAAACAGTGGGGAGATGTCACATCAGGATAGATTAGAACCCTCAACCTTGAGTAAATTAAGCAAAAGGGAGCGGGATGGAGGAATACTGGAATGTGAGGAGCCATGTTTGTTGTGTAATTGAAAGTCACAGTAAAATTCCTCACAAAAGGTAACTGGGGCTTTACAAAGGCAATACTGCCTATAAGCATGTCCTAATACTTTTGTCTGGAAATAAGCAAGATGCAGCACCTTGAACTAGAGTGTAGGCGTACAATTAAACTAGATTAAGTGTCTTCAAAATGTGAATAATAATTGGCTATAATGTTTTAAATAGTTTCTCTGTAAACTTAAGTTTCTTCAAATTATGAATGCTAATGAAGGAAGCCATTTAAAACAATCTGCTAGTCACCTATTAGAAGCAGACAGCTTCTGCTTTGTGTCTATCCATTGTCCTTTCCCTGTCATTACTGCTTGTCTTGATCTCATCTCAGATGTTTTTATGGAAACCTTTAGAATTGGGGAGAAGTCTGTGTTCCCTGAACTGTGTTGGTTAGAAGACAGTCTTTATGGAAGCCAAAAAATGATCCTTGTTAATTTGAGCAACAGAACCAGGTTCAGCAAGAATATGGCACTAAGGAAAATGTCCCCAGATGTACATAGCCATTGATCTACTGCAAAAGCAGAAAACGGAAACCACACCATGAAGTCTTTTACCCTAGACTAACTTTTGAGCTATTGCATGAAACATTATCACTTACCATTTCAGAATACTAGGGTGCCAGGAAAAAAATAACTTACAAAGCACACACACAGATAAAAGTTGTCTTTCTGAAATTCTTCGTTTTGTTTCTGGAGATTTATTTACAGAGCCTTGCTGTTTATCTCCATAAAGACTCTGTGCCCAAAGTAGTCCCATTCCCATTTGGACTCCTCTTGCTTTCATTAGTTTTGAGGAGGAAAAGTATCCAGTAGATCTCTGAATAAATTTTTTGTTCTACACATTCCAAACTTGGCTCTTCTGAGGTGTATGTTAATTGTAACTCATGATTTTGCCCACATTCCAAAAGATGAACCAAGGAAGATAATTTTTCTCCCTGCCAATGCTGTTTTCTTCCTCTGCAGAACAATCTGGAGGTTTTCACAAGTAAAATCAATTGAGTTATTTGCTTTCACAATATTATATATAATTAAATAATGGAATGTATTTCGATTTTGAGTTGAGTTTAATTTCTACAACAGAAGCTAAAGCTGTTGCTGAATAAAAGTTCAGCAAAGTGACCTCCAGAAGTGAGAATATTTCTTGTGACTGGTCTTACGATGTGAGCAGTTTTCAGTGCTAGGGACCACATACTCCTTTTTTTTTTTCAGACGGGCTCCTGGGGCTCTAGAGGAGCTACCTGCATGTGCTTGTGCTGCTGTCCATCTTAACTCCACCCAGGGGAAAGGCCATCCCAGTGAGTGCTCATCTGAAGACCACAAGAGGAGCTCTGTGCCTTTCTGAACTGTAGAGATGGAAGAGGGAGCAGTGAGGCTGCCATTGGTTTGGGGGATATTTAACACTACTATCTGGCTCCTCAGACTTATTAGTTTGGGGAAATCTTTGTGTACCCTAGACTAGGATTTCATATCTTAGAATGGAGGTTTACAGTTGGCCTTCAAGTCTGAGTCCTGCGTTTTCAGACCGTTGGGGTCATTAGGCTCATCTTCATGCTGAAGTGTATGGTAACTAGATGGATAGTCGTCTTTTGTGAAAATTCAGTTCAATTTCCTATCCCATCATTTCCAATTTTTAGTAAAATGGTACTTCCTTTAAGTTTAACTTGAAGGTATAAGGAGAAGGTACCAATTTGAGGAAAATTGGTTTTACTGTGATTGAAATATTGAATATTTGGGCATAGAGTAGACTCCTGACATTCACTAGGAATATTCCCTGCATCCTTCATGAATCCCCAGGTGAATAAAGTTATCCTAGAATATAATTTCCTCCCTGAAATGTGGTAAATATAGCTGAAAAGTTTAGTCATTCCTTTATAAAGTTCCTGATACAAAATACTTCACCTGAGATGTGGAATTGAAGTCTCCAGTAGGGGCAGTCTGGTCCATTTGAGGCTTCCCTATATAGCAGCCCTGCCCTGGGTGAAGAAAAAGATGGATCTTCTGAATGAATCATAAATAGTCAAAACAAATGCCAAGCGTCTGCCATTCTTTGAATCTTGCCTCACAGTTGTTTGAGTCCATTCACTTTTTCTACCCTGCAAGTTGTGTTTCCTGTAGAGGGACCAGCTATATTTAAGCTTAAGCTAGCAGTCAGCTCAAGTCTCCCTGCCCACTTTGTTCACCGTGTTTGTGTCCAGCACAGTCCATTTTCAGTGAAAATGTTTATTTACTGCTTATACAAACCTAGTTTTTCTCTTGTTGTATGCAAAATCTCAGATCTAAAGGTCAACAGGAACTTTTTTTTTTTTAAATCTGTGGATGAGGTTATTTTGTTTAATACCAACCAAGGTCATTATTTTTATGACATAATAAGATATGATGAAGATTTAAGTTTCCAGCAAGAATTCTTCAGCTACATGGGGCCATCTGTACACTGTTCGGACACATCAGAACCAAAGGCCATTTGCCATGTAAAGTCTAATTCTGTTGGGTTTGGTTTTATCATTCCCAGGTGCTCTTCTGATTACAGAATTTTATAATATTTTTGGGAGTAGTTTTTATTAACATAGTTAATATTTACTTAACAGAGATAGGTAAAGTTATACAATTACTATTTTGGCCTCAAGTTTATCCAGAGTTTCAGGTAGGACTGGAATAAAAATAACTGACTGTAGCACACTGAACTTGAGACTTTACTGTGTTTAAATATAACATGGGATCAATAATAAAACCTTGATCTAGCTTAATATACTTGAAAAAGTCTAGTCATTTTAAGGTCTTTGGATAAACAGCAGGCATATAAAAGAAATTTACTATTTCCTTTTTAAAATGTTATCACCAACCTTCATTTTAATATTTGATGTTAGATTTTATTGACTCATTGACATACCAGATGTCCACATGGTTCACAGTTACATGACTGGTCATGAGGATCTTTAAGTCATGGAACTTGAGAGCTTTCCTGGGATTGCTCCACATTGATTTCCATATTTTCAAATGCACAGGATGTTGTTTATTCTATAGCTATTTCTACCATTCACCGGTTCTTCTTTCTTCGAACTGTTTCCTTATTGCTATGGTTTGTATGAGTGTCCCTCTGGTCCCCAGATGTCTCTGTTGGGAGGTGCCATGGACCTTTAAGAGGTAGGGCTTAATGGGACGTTCTTAGATCTTTGAGGGGCATGTTCTGAAAAGGGATTTTAGGACCCTTCCTGTCTCTTCTTTCTTTCTTTCTTTTTTTTTTTTTTGTGACAATGGTGAAGTTTGAATTCAGGGCTTCATGCTTGCTAGGCAAGTGCTCTATTGCTTGAGCCACTCATCCAGCCCTTTTGGCTCTGGTTATTTGGAGCTAAATTCTTGCTTTTTGCTCATGCTGGCCTGAACAGTGATCCTCCTGTTTTATACTCCTCACCATAGCTGGAATGACAGGTGTGTACCACCACACCCAGATTTTCTCTGTTGAGATGGGGTCTCACCAACTTCTTTTGCCCAAGCTGGCCTCAAACTACAACCCTCCTAATCTCAGCCTTCCAAGTAGCTAGGATTATGGGTGTAGGCTACAGGCATGTAGCTTGTCCTTCCTTTCTCTCTGGTTCCTGGCTCAAGATGCAAGCACTCACCTTCCTATCATGATATGTAGCTCTCACCAAAGGCTCAAAGCAATGGAGCTGTTTGCTCTTTGACTTGAACTTCTAGAACTGTGAGCTGAGCAACCTTCTTTTCTTTACAAGTAGCCTATCTCAAGTATTTCGTTGTAACATGAAGCTCAGGAATCCACTTGTCTTCCTAAACTTTGTTTTTTTTGCATCCTCAGCCCTTTATTCCTATCTCATTTTTTGAAATTTTGTGTTCCCCATGATTTTTCCCTTTTTCTTCTTCGAATCCCACACTGTGTAATAGCTGGATGGTTATATAAGTAGCCTCAGTCATCATAAGTATACTAGAAGATCTTTAATTACGTTGTTTTTTTTTTTTTTTTGAGACAGTGTCTTGCAGTGTAGCCCTGGTTGGCCTTGAGCTCATGATCCTCCTATCTCAGCCTCATAGAGTACTGGGATTATAGACATGAATCCCATCTGTTTTGTCTGGGCTGCTTTTTTACTTCTGACCTTCATATGCCTGACTATCTACTGAACATCTGCAGTTGAATGTCACACAACGTCTCATACTCACAAATCCAAACTGAATTAAACTTCACCTCACTCCTTCTTCTATGTCTACCTTCTTGTGTGTTACCCACCTTAATAAATAGCTTCTTAATGATTGGCCTTACCATCTTACAGTATCCAGAGTAGATTGAGGATTTACACTCAACTTTCCTATACTCTCCACACCAGTAATCTACCCAATCCTCAGCTTCTGTTGAGTTCTCAATTT